AACATGCTCTTCTCTGCTCCTGAGTGTTTGCCTGCCTCTGCCACAGACTTTGGGCAGCAGCAGTTATTAGGGAAATGACCAGATGTTGGGCCATTTTTTCTTTAACCCCCATTATATGGTATGGCCAAGCTGAAAAAATGTACAGCCTAAGTATGTCTTCTCTGTTCCTCGTGAAGTGTCAAAATCCAAAGGGGAGGATTTGTCAAAACTGGAGCAGACAGAATTTGTAGCATTTGCCCATAGTAGCCAATCGGCTTCCTCTTTCATTTTAAAAACTAAACTGAAGAGAGAAGCTGGTTACTATGGGCAACTGCTCCAGATTCTGTCTGCTCCAGTCTTCATAAATTCCCGCCCATTAGTATATGAGGAGTAATCGGTACTAACAGTGTCTCCAAATCACGATAAAAATGCTCAGTTTGTTTACTTTTAACCATTCATCGGTGATAATGATCTTTCTTTTTTTTTCGGCAGATGAAGGATCCATTCCTCTAGATATGGCGACTTTATTAAAAACATCCCTCGGTCTTTAATGAAGACGAGCCCTTTTCCCTGTATTTCTAATTGCATTTTCAAGGCAGTGATTTTTATACTGACTTTAATGATTGTGAACTGCTGTATTTTTTTTTGTAAGTATTTCTTATAAGCAACTGAACAAAATTTATAGCAGTTTGGGGTATTTGAGCTGCTTGATGTACTGTTTCATTTTCACAGCAGCTGAGTAATCCACATTTTGGAAATAACAAGGAATATGTTGTCATGTTTATAACTGCAAATTCACTGGTTCTTTAGAGTCAGTATTTTTGTATGTTTTCTTGACCTCTTTAATGCTATGTCCTGTATTCTATTGTATGTGTATACTTTATGTATTTTTGTTAAACGTGATTTGATTGTTACATTTTATTTAGTGTTATTTGTATTACAATGGCCAATTCCAGTGGTATTTTTTTGTTCTTTTTTTTTTATTTCGTTCATTAAAAATTAAATAAAACACATGGATCTATGTGCAAGTTCTGTATTTTTTTTAGAAGAGTCTTTTTCTTTTTAAGCAACTTCTCGAGCAGTAGCAGTGTATGCTAAAATGCAGTTCTGATCTCGCACACATTACAAGGATATTACAATTTCTGCCATTACATTGACTGACTATCTGCTGGTGTAAAGAGCAATGCTGTAACACTAAACACTACAATTCCGCCAGGGCTGTCCAACCTTCTTTCATTGTGGGACAGCACTAAGTCATGTCCTGCCTGAGAAAAGGGATCCTGTGTGACCCCGAAACGTTGCACTTGTGTGATATGCCGCATTCACGTCAATAAAAGACACGTTATCTGCAGTTGGGAGTGCCGGTGTCTCAGCTCTACTTTGTGAATGTGATGGTGCAATCCGTTGACTACTGTTGCATCCACTTGTCGATTTTGGATTGTGCGATGAGTTTGTGGACTTCAGCACTGTGTCATGTGCTCCTGTGATAAAGTTTATTCTTGAGTAGTAAAATGCTGTTTTAAAGGTAAATTCCACCTTTTAGAAAAAAATTATAAATGCACACCTTCATAAACAAACTAAAATGTGCTTTTATTTTTTTTTTGTTTTGCATTTGTGCCAGTAAATCATTGCAGCCACGATCAGTAGATCCCGGGTGCAATGCTGTGGCTCCTGCAGACTCTTCCTCCCGTTCATATCCATACCTTGGCACAGATATTTAGTAACGGACAGAAGGGAGAATGAATTGACTGCAAGTGTGGTGAGGTTACTGCACTTGTATTCCATTGAGGACTAGAGGTCCCTCTGTTGTGGTGGCTGATGGGACTTAAAGTTTTTCCATTCATGGATCCTGTCGATGAATCTTTAATTGAGTGATGCGGCTGTGTGGGCGTTGTCCCACATAGAAGCTCCGAATTTTAAAAAATGAACACTAGCCTGCGAGGAAAAGAACCCTGCAATTCAGGTGAAGAATGAAAGGTGGGTTGGGATCTGATCGATCTGACCATGTTTTATGTTACACCCTGAATATGGGTTTAACATGAAATTAAAAAATTAACACCCAGCCTGCAGGGATTTTCCTCAAGAATTTAATGGTATTTTGCTCCATCCATGTTTCCTTCTATCCTGACAAGTGCTCCAGTCCCTGCTGCAGAGAAGCATCCCCATAACAGGATATTACCACCTCCATGCTTTACTGTAGGAATGGTGTTATTTGGATGGTGAGCTGTATTGGATTTCCACCAGACATATGGTTTGGTGTTGAGGCCAAAATTCGATTTTATTATTATAATTATTATACATGATTTATATAGCGCCAATAGTTTGCACAGCGCTTTACAATATAAGGAAGACATTACAGCCACAATACAATTTAAGACAAGATGGTAGTGAGGGCTTACAATCTAAACGGGAGGGGCAAGTGATACATGAGGAGGTAGCTGTGCGGGGATGATTGTTTGAGAAAGTGATTGTTCAGTGGTTAGGGTGAGATGGGATAGGCTTCCCTGAAGAGATGAGTCTTAAGGGATCGCCTAAAGGCAGTCAGTGTGGGAGATAGACGGACTGGTTGGGGTAGAGAGTTCCATAGGATGGGAGACACTCTAGTGAAGTCCTGGAGGCGAGCATGGGAGGAGTTGATGACGGAGCTGGAAAGCAGGAGGTCTTGTAAAGAGCGGAGGGGGCGGTTAGGGTAATACTTTGAGACCAGGTTGGAGATATAGCCTGGGCCAGAGTTGTGGATGGCTCTTTACGCGGTTGTTCATATTTTGAATTTTATTCTTTGGGCTATAGGAAGCCAGTGCAGGGATTGGCAGTGGGGGGTTGCATACATTTGTGATATTGTTGTCACATGCACACAATGGCCACTCTGTCATAAATTCCTGCAACTGCTTCCGAGTTGCTGTAGGCCTCTTGGTAGCCTCTCTGACCAGTTTCCTCCTGGTTCTTTCATCCAGTTTGGAGCGATGTCCTGATCCAGGGAGGTTCTGTGTTGCACCAAATATCTTCCACTTCTTAATAACAGACTTCTCTGTGCTTCTAGGCATTGATAAAGCCTTTGACATTTTTTTGTATCCATCTCCTGACTTGTGCCTCTCCACAACTTTATCCCTGAGATCTTTTAACAATGCCTTGCCACCCATAGTTGATTGCTTCAGTTGCACTACCAGGGACTGAAATGCTCTTTTCATGCTGAGCTGATGAAAATGTCCACAGCTGATCACAGTTGAAAGTCAAATGGCTTGGTGTGCCATTGAGAAGATGATTAGCTACACCTGATTGAGTTTACAAGTCATTTTTAGGAGGGGAGGAGGGTGATCCTTTTTCCAACTCACTCATAGATTATTTTTTTTTAAATCAATTTACAAAAATCAAATCAATATTTGTTCATTTTGCGATCGACGGGTAGATCGCAATCGACCTAATGGGCACCCCTAGTTTTGAGCACTTTCCATTTTTCTGCACCCCAGTTCCTATGTTTTAAGTGCATAGTTGAGTCGCTTAGCCTTGTTTCCAAGTTGGAGGTATGGCTTTTTGGCGCAATTCTTCCATGAAGACCGCTTCTGGACAGAATTTGCCACAGAAGATGGGTGTACCTGAGTCCCACTGGGTTCTGCCAGTTCGGTTCTGATGGCACTACTAAACCTCTTCCTATGTTGAAGAGATGTAAGCATGATGTGTCTTTCATCTGCTGAATTAAGTTTCCTTGGCCGACCACTGCGTCTGCGATTTTGCCCTCAACTTTGCCCATTTCTTTGTGCTTCTTCAAAAAAAAAAAAAAAGAGCTTGAACAGCACATCTTAAACCCCAGTCAGCTTTGACAATTTTGCCTTGGAGAGACCTTGCTAATACAGTATAACTACATTGTGTCTCGTTGCTGGGCTCAGTCTTGAGATGGTGTATGACTTGTGACATGAAACTGTCTTCCACAACCTCACCTTAGTAGCGGAGTTTGGCTGTTCCTTGCCCAGTTTTAAGCCTCCTACACAGCTGTTTGTTTCATTCAATGACTGTGTTTGTTTTAAAACCTACATATAAAATTGATGATCATTAGCAAAATCCCTGACTTTGGCTTCAAACCAGCATCAAATCTTACACTTGCACAAAGGGTAGTCACACTAAATATTGATTTGATTAAGATGTTTCTTCTGTTAACTTTGCATTTAAAAAATTTGTATAAAATATATATGTTTGAATTCATTGTAACTTTACATTTTTTTTGCACCGGCCTAAAACCTTTTCACAGTAGTGTGTGTGTGTTATATATATATATATATATAACACACACACACCTATGTATTTCTCTTTTCACCTGTGAGGAGCTAATGCGCAGTGCACTTAGCTGGTGCACAGTAGGCAGCATAGATGAGCTCCATGAGTATCTCCAAATATTGCTCACTTTTTAGGGTAGCTGCTTTACAGTAAACGACATAGACAAGCTCAGTGAATACCCTCAAAGACTGGTCACTGTTTAGGGTAACCAAATCAAAGTAAACAAGGTAGATAAGCAGAATGAGTACCCTCAAAGATTGGTCACCGTTTAGTGTAGCCAGTTCACCGTAAACAATGTAGATGAGCTCAATAAGTACCTGCAAATATTGCTCACCATTTAGGGTAGCCCCTTCACAGTAAATAACATTGATGAGTTCCCTCAACGATTGGTCACTGCTTAGTGTAGCCAATTCACAGTAAACACCGTAGATGAGCTTAATGGAAGATAGCTCACTGTTTCGTGTTGCTTAGAGATGGTAACATGAAAATGTGACCGAAGCAGTATATGCTGATATTTCCTTTTACAATAGTGGGCTGGTATCAGTGGTAACCAGAAACATGAAAGCATCTTGCTTTGCCAGCCCTGCCTATACAAACCTCCAAGTCTGTATATATATTCCTGTTCCATAAACCATAAATGTAATTGTTATTCAGAGCAAGGTACATACGCATTTCAATTTGTTCTGTCAATGTGAAATCCATACCACGTTTAATCTCTAGTGTGAGCTAAATGAAGAGCACTTTTATACAAATTGGATACCGAAGCTGCATCCTTTAGCTTTATTTAGACCAATAATTTTTTTTAAAGCAACACGACTCTGCAGAAGACATTAGAATAGAGACTCGGGTCGTTTCTTTATCCATGCTGCAATTGCTGGGATTTCTTGCACTCGCTTTCTCAGAGCCAGTAAATGAGGATAGGCATTTTCAAAGCCAGGTTGATGATGCCCAAACATGTCACAGCAGTTGTCCCAGAAAAAGTCAGCCCACGTTACCTATAGGCAGTGAATAATAATTAGATTTAGTCTAGTACATTAGGTATGAGCACTTGAGAAAGAAAAAAAAAATCAATGCACTAGGTCAACACTTAGGGCACTTGCAGATCAGCCACCAGCACCATGTCTGTGAACTATACTGACCAGTCATTTTAAAGATACCTATGCCAGATGATGTTGATTATCAAATAGCTACAGACTATAGAACCCAAATATGAACCTTTAATTTCAGACAGAAATGGATGGCAGAGATTCCCATGAGTTAATGAGGTTTGGGAAGAAGTGTGGGAGTATGGGGACTCAAGGTAGGTTACATCTAGTCTGAACCAGAGACAGGCTTGTTCTACTACAAGTTTATCAACAGGTTGTACCTCAGTTGAAGAACATTGTTGGAGATGCTTGCATGTCCTGGCAGACCTTTTTCCTTTACTTGCAAATGATATGGCAATCAAGTTCACCATTAACCCCTTTGTATTAAATCCTTTATATATTGACAATTCATTTAAAGAAAAGTTGTCGTAAAAAAGTATAAAGGCTACTATTGCTGATCTAAATCCGAAAAATATTGATCACCTGGCAGTTACACCAGTCGCTTTCAGTACTCTGAATTTGGAATAGTGAAATTTTTCATCTGCATGCTTTTTCCAGGTCAATGTCTCTACATACTTAAGACAATAGGCAGAGAGCATTTTCAGAAGTAGGTCAGCAATGGCAGCCACCATTTTTTTTTTTAGTACGCGTTTCCTTTAAGTGGATGCCTGTACAATTTTATAATGCCGAATGTAAATCCAATCACACGTATGTCTTTTTAGCAGTCTGTTTTTGTCCACCCCTTTTGGGATAACATCTTTTATCCTATGTTCACAGATTTGTCCTACTTTTCATCATCAATCAGGTTAGGTAGATTGTGTGGTTTGATGCAGAGGATTATTTTTATTTCCATTCTGTCTTTTTTGTTTTTCATGCGTTGCATGCCCTCTCATTTTTCCAATTATAAAATAGTTTTTATTAAAAAAAAAAACATTTTGTACACATTGCTGCTATTCTTACAAATAAAAATTCAATGAAATGAATGCTTTTCTGCATTTTAAGACGCCTACGGTCTTAGTTCTGTGTGGCTAGATCATGTGATTTCCTCTTAGACCTGTTTTTAAATGCATTATTGTACTATGATGTACTGATGTTCCTAACATAGCATTGTACCAAATTAAACTGCATGGAAACTGGGGCAGATGCACTGTACATGACTATGGGAAATGCATGCAAATGTGTTAGGAAAAAACATGTATCTTCTTTAAGGGTATGCAAAAGCAAATGCAACAGGCGGTGTCTTAGCAATCATTGCTGCATTAAAGGAGAATTATGAGGTGAGTGATTTTCACTCAGCCTCATAATCTGAGCCGACCTGTGACAATGAAACTGTCACAGTTCGGCTCAGTAGATCTGGAAGTGAGCGAACACATACCGGCGTTCGCTCACTTCTCGATCCTGTGCCGGCAGAGAGCCGTGACAGGGGAGGGACTGGATTCCCCCCTCCCCGCTCCAATCTGCCAGCGCTGACTGGCGGAACGGACGGGGGAGGGGGCGGGTACAGCTGGCTCTGCCACTGGATAGTCAGAGCCAGCTATCACTCACGCAGCTGGGTGGATCCAGACATAATTGTCGGGATCCGACCGGCTGCGGTATCTCAGTATACCTGTAGCTCGCGGTACACTGAGCTTTGGGTGACGGGAGGACGGTAGTTTGTGTCCTCCCGTTACCCCTTAGGAGAACTATGGGGAAAAGCCCTAACCCCATAGTTCTCCTTTAAGTAACAAATGGCTATTTCCACAAATTTGCACATTACATGAGGGAAGCACAGAGCATATTTATTAAGGCCCCATTCACACTTTCACAATGCGTGAACGCGCATTTGCGTGCATTTTTCGGCCATTGCCACGCGCCAGCCCATTTATTCCAATGCGCTGGCGCACGTGTGGAAAACATGACAAAGACGCTAATGCAGCATTTTCAGCTGCGAGCTTCCAGCATTTTATGACCACACTTTTGTGTGTGTTTGATGCATGCCCATGCCCAGGCAAAAACATGCATTTTACTGACCATGTTTGGGGTGCCCATTAATAAGCAATGGCACTACAAGCGTGTCACACGTTCTTAATGTGTTGTGTTTGGTGTGCAAAAGTGTGAACAGGGACTAAATGTTATCAAACAGTAAAGTAGCACTTGTGCACTTCAGCATCACGAATCCCTACGGCTTCTGTAATGAGGAAGTGTACCTCCATGAATGAGAATTGAGTTACAGTTTTCAAACTACCTGGGACCAGAACAGTAAAAAAAAGAGTATGTGTAGCGAGCTGTGGATAGGACTTAGAAAACTATGATACTCTAAGGACTAGCCATTTTTCTGTATAGAGAGACCCCAGCTTCATCTTGCTTTATGCACTTAGTTTTTAATGTGAGCAAGAAGTACCGAGCTAGTAAGAAGAGGCTAGTCAAGCCAAGGTGGATAATTGTAACTTGTTATGCAAAATGGAAGTTCTTATTTTCTTTATTGTGCTGTTTTATGTTATGTCTCTTCCTGACCATGCTACCATATCTAATGTGCCCCCTAGTTAAATGGTATTGATTGGATTATCAGAATTTGGTGCTCAAGGTCAGGACTACATTTGCCACAAGTCACAGTTCAATTTTGAGGCAGTTGAAGGGCAGATTTTTTTTTCATTCTATTAAAGTATTAATGCTTTATTTTTGATTTGCAGTATTTTTTTTTGTCATGAGCCACTAAATATTTTCTACATTAATGACTTTGTACACAATACTTTATAAACAACATTGCATCCTTTCCTACTACAGTTACTAGGGCCAGTTTGGGAGACGGCCACTAAACCTACTGGTATGGATTGTGGAATGCCAGCAGAGGCAACCCACATGAACATGGTAAGTCATTCTTACCATTATACTCTGAAACTACTGATGCTGCCAATCAACACTAAAAGGCTGTCATTGCCTAATTAGCAGAAGCAGTGCTTGTTCTAGGGCAGAGAACACCTCTGTAGGTGGATTCAAGGGCACATAGTAAAGGACTAATTGTTAAGGACTGATTTTGCAGTACCTGTAATTCAGTAGTACTTTATCACTTCGAGAAACCTAAAAGGTTTTCTTTAACACGTACTTGGCCTGTATGGCTCTCATGTTTTAAACTGTCTGTGTCTCTTTAAGACAAGGTAAACTTTTTCCAGTTCTGGTTTCCTTTACCATGAAGATGGTGCTATCTTTAACTTTGCAACCTGTGCAGATACCCAGTTTGAAAAAGGATACTTACGTAGTCACCAGCAAACCATTTCTTGTCACCCAAAGCCTTCTCCAAGCCAGAAAGGGTTGGATGAACATTCTTTTCCATGTACTCTTTTATTTTCTAGGGTACAAAATGGTATATGAGTTAAGCTCTCCTGATTGTCTTGTAAAGCTAATCTTGTATAGTTTGTCAAGTGTCACATTTTAAATGTGTGCCTTTGCTTAAAATGTAAGTGCTCATCAGCCACAGTGAAATTTGGGTTTACAATACAGCAAACAACCCCCTTTCCCCTTATAGGGCCCTATGGGTCAGCCTAGTCTGTGGCTTGGTCAGAAGATATTCCAGTTTGCTCTGGAGCCTCATCACACAATATCTAAAGATTTCAATCAAGTTAATGTTGGTCACACAAAACAAATACACCGCTCTCGTCCACCTGCACAATCTGAGTAAATTTCATCTGCTTTTGTTGGTTGCCGGCTCCAAGGGCACGCCACAGCCTGACAGGCATTAAATCCAAGTGTAAAAAAGGGGGAGCAGCACTCCAGGGATAAATCTTTCATACGCTGCTTAATCCATTAACGTAAATAATCTGTACACTGACATACAACTTTACATCTCACGTGTTCCACTATTATGGCTTGATCACAGAGCTCTTTGGCAAACGTATGTAAGATACCATTTCCACCCTCAATATATGGCTGGTGCAGCCAAAAGGGTTGATACGCCAGGTGCTAAAATCACAGTATTTCCTGATGGCACTCACATAGTATAGGAAAGGGTCTGTCAAGCTCAAGAGAGTTTAGAGTTGTGCACCTGGCCTCAGTCCTTGGTTGTCAATATGCAGACACTATTCCTATGAAATACAGTAAACAATATTCATGTGTGCAGAACAGTCAGTAAAATACCTTTTCATCACCTTCCCAAGGAAATAATGTCACCAAGTCATCCAAATGATCGACTGTGATATCAATGTTAAGATCATCGATCTCTGTTTTTCCTCTCAGACCTGTGAAATGGAAAAAAGAAACCATATACGTAAAATCATGAAATAGAAACAAACATTTTTAGGTATTCTAGAAAAAGCTGCTTTTAACAATAACTTGTTAGGGGAAATTGTTATCTCTCCCAAAAAAAGGTTCCCATCCTGTGATGGATGCTGCTTTTGCGAGACACCTCTGATCCATTGTACACAGTAACTAGCAGGGATGCACAGATACTTTTCGAGTACCAGTGCCAATACTTGGCATTTTCATGAGAACTACCAGGGTTGTAGCGGTTGCAGCTATGACCTGGCTCTGGCGCTCCACCACTGTCCTGAAATCATTAGTCTGTATTGTTTTAGAAAAACTCACACGCCAATAAACAAAAATGTATCAGTACTCGCAAAAATGGTATCGGTGCATCCCTTTATTTATATTTATAAAAACAAAATCATATAATAAAACAGAGATGTACAAATCCCAGGAGCTCCGTGTGCTCCTTACAAATGGCAGCTACCTACTAACTTTTGCATTTCTCTCTAGTCTAATCTTGGAGCTCCAATAGTATCGGTACTTGGTATCGGTGCATCCCTAGTAACCAGCACTTGTTTCCAGGAGTCATGCAACAACAACAGTTAGATGGGAACTTTAGCTGCATCAGGGTTTTCACTTGACAGAATAAGTGGCTGTGTCAATGTGCTTTTGTTTGCTTCAAACAGGTTTTGAATACAAGTCTATGGGAATGAAGGAAGAAGAGCACGCTGTCCTAGAAGACTGAAACTTCTGAAGTCATCATCAGACGTCTGTGGCCTTGTTCACACCAAGCGCAGAGCAGTTGCAGACCGGATCAAAACTGCGTCCAATGTATTCCAATGGTATTTTTTGCTCCAGTTCACATCGGAGCGTGCTGTTCCAGAGCAGGTGAAAAAATTGCAGCAAGCCCTATTTTACCTGCTCTGGAACGCATGCAAATGCATCAAAAACACATCAGAAATGCATGCAAATCCCTGGAATGCACTGAAAGCCCATGTTAAACAAAAAAAATTATTTTTTTAAAAATCAAAAACGTGGCAAAACCCACTGCACTGCATGTGCAGAAACCTGAGCGGATCTGCTCTGCATTTTGTGTGAACAAGGTCTGTAGGACTGCGAGGCTTTATATTCACGCCAGTCAAACCACATAGGACTGACTTTCTATTACTGGTGTCTCAGAGAGGCTGTAAGATTCTCCATCTATTCGATTTCACAAATTTTAGAGTACTATAGTGTAAACACGGGCGGGCAAGCCTTCTTCCAGAGGACAGGTATACAAAGCTTGGCTGCATTTAAGGAGAACTATGACATGAGTGATTTTCACTCACCTCATAGTTCTAAGCCGACCTGTGACAATGAGACTGTCACAGGTCGGTTCAGTAGATCGGGAGGTGAGGGAAAACATACCGGGTTCCCTCACCTCTCGATCCTGTCACGGCTCTCTGCCGTGACAGGGGGAGGGGCTGGATTCCCCTCTCCCCGCTCCGATCTGCCAGCGCTGACTGGCGGAACGGACGGGGGAGGGGGCGGGTACAGCTGGCTCTGCCTCTAGGTAGGCAGAGCCAGCTGTCACTCACGCAGCTGGGCGGATCCCGTCATCTAAATCGGGATCCGCTCCAGGTGCGGCGTCTCAGTATACCGCGAGCTGTAGCTCGCGGTATACTGAGCTTAGGGTAACGGGAGGACGCTAGTTTGTGTCCTCCCGTTACCCTAAGGAGAACTAAGGGGAAAAACACTGACTCCATAGTTCTCCTTTAAGTAGATTGTTTAAAAGAGATTTTTCATATCTACTCCTCGAGAGCAGACAAGTGCAGGAGGTAAGCCAGTGGGTCATTCATTGCCCATATCTACATCAGCGAGTTGTAGTACAAGTGACCAAACAACAGACCAGAAAGATTGTATTTTAGTATAGGACCAAAACATACCGGTATGTAGAAGGCTGCCCCCAGATTCGCCAAACGCCAAAATAGGTAATTTTTAAAAGATCGTGTGGCCACATTTGGTAAGGTCTACTAGTTACATATTTGCAGTCTGTAATTTATCTTTCTACAGTAGCTGTTTCTGCAAGTTTAGGCAGTAAAAAGCACCGCACATCTCTCACAAAATTGACACTTCCTGGAGTGTTGGAGCCTTGAACTTCCAGGCCGCCCATAGTCCCTCACCCCACCTTCCTGGGCTACTACATCATGAAGCTCTTACTCCTGTTGCCAGCAACATTTCAAAAGACAAGACGTAAAAGTTGCCGTATGTTCAGAGTTTAGTTAAAGTTGCTGTATGTTCACACTGACTAACAGTTATGCCGTGAGTTTACTATGCATTACCTGTACTTTTGTGATCGTTTGAGAGTTTGCTGGCAGCAGGATTAGCATTTCATGTGATTAGTAGACCCTGCTGAATATGGTGACCGGGTCTCTTTAATGCTTGGTATCGCAAATGCATAGCTTGCAATTTCTAAAGCAGAGAACTGTCACTGTCAGCACCCAGAACAACATAAACTGGAAAGGTCTTTTCCACTTATTGTTCCCTTCCACACACACTCTGTTGTTGCAGTTGTGGAATGACAAGTACATAGGCATGTTTAATGAGTGCCCCAGCCCTGTTTGCACACAACTACAATTGCCATTTATTCCCTCAGACCTGTTTCCAGTGCTGACACAGCACCTGTCTTTACAGGCTAGCATACACACCATGGGCTGTAAGGAACCCAACAAGAATAGCCAGCTCAGCTGCACTGCAAATCAATATGAAAGGTAATATGGAGACAGAGCTAACAGACATCCGAAAATGGGTCAGCTTTTTACATAACATGGAAAACCTCTTTTAAAAAGTCGCATCCTTGACCTCCAAATTATTAATCTGTGTCTTCAGTCACAAACATCTTAGTTACACATTCTTGGCTCACCTTTAAGCGGACATTTTTCTCTACTTGTCTGCTCTAATGCTCAAATAGACTTGTTACAGAAATCTCCGAGGGGCACTTGGCACTTTTCCATTTCTTCACACAGTGCCACTAGTGATTTAAGTGCTGTATCACGTCTGTCCATTTTTTAAAAACTAACATTGAAAAGATTTTTAGAAATCTATAACTTTGGCTATTTGTGACAGTACGTTACCAAAATCATATACCTTACCTGCTGGTTTGGCCAGGTATCTGCTAATAGCAAGGCTCTGACTATAGATAACTCCATCAATTTCTAGAACCGGGAGCTTTCCATACGGGTAAGCTGCAAAAAAAAATACATAAGGTAAAGTAATAATATTGAGAATATTTTTCCTTTCACTAAGACAAGTAACAAAGCAGCCATTGTTAGTATCTTCATTCAGAGCCTTATGGCAGTAGTTGCTGTGAAGGATTCCTGATAGAGATCTTAATTATCAGCTCACACATCTATTCATGTCTATTAGCTGGCAGGACATTAGTGTACAGTGATCATGTAAATAGTCTGCTGAATAAATATAGTCCCTTGGTTCTGCAAAGAGCAAAGTCAGATGGGTGCTTTCCTTACCCCATTGATCTATTAAGGTGTAACTCTAGCCAACTCTGTTTTTCTTTTATTTGTTGTAAACAGGCTGGAGAAAGGTTACAGTTTCTGTCAGGTTACTACAGCGGTGTGTACATCTGTTTCCACTTACTCCCTGTCCCAGTAACCACCTCATACATGACGGACAGAAAGTGATGGAGTGATGGACTCTGTAATGGAGTCCTGGATAGTAGTAAAACCTTACAGGAGATCTAATACTTCCCCACTCTATCCATAGCTGAAAAAGACCTTTTAAATATAGAAAGACGTTAAGCAATAACTTGTGATAACAAAATGTCAGAGGCCATTTTGCCATGCCATAAGTGTTTTTGCAGCTTGACCAATTAGCCCAAAGGAATGAAAGTAGAAAAAATAAGGACTGTGATTAAAAACTCTCCAGTGCAAGGCGCTCATTGTCTGAATGGCACCCAAAGGACTATATTTCCTTCATGTTTAGTTACCTTTACCTGTCAACGTTTAGCTAGATGTGGGAACTGCCCATATGTGTCCAATTACATTTTCCATCTGCCTAACCATGGCTGTGATCAACCTCAATAACATGCCTGCAATAATCTAACTTATGCTTGTCAGGTAAACCCTATACCAGTGGTGGTCAACCACCGCCAGCAGCACATAAACCTATATGAATGTAATGAGACAAAAAACTGTCTACAGACTACAGACCTGCAATAGGAGATGGTCAGAAAAACTACAAGAATTCTAACAGAGATGGTCAAAGACTGTGTTCATGCTATAGAAGATGGTCAGGGACTGTGTTCATGCTTTAGAAGATGGTCAGAGACTGTGTTCATGCTATAGACGATGGTCAGGGACTGCGTTCATAATATAGGAGATGGTCAGAGACTGTGTTCATGCTATAGGAGATGGTCAGGGACTGCGTTCATGCTATAGCAGTTGTTGGAAACTAAGGACATGCTTCAGGAGACAGTTACAGTTCCTTTACAGAGATCACAGTTTCTTTACCAATCAATGTGACCACAATGTGCTCCATGTAGCCGCTTTTAAAATGATTTGCAATATTGAAACTAAGACAAACTTTGTCATCGTAAATTAAATAGATCAAGAAAAACCCAGCACACCAAGTATAGGTCTTTTAGATGTATAATAGATCCATACATGGTGTGCTGTCCATCTCTTGACTTGCCAGATTAGAAGCAAGGCATGTAGAAATGGATGGACTTTGATAAATTATGTCTTGCTTTATGTATGGTATATATTTAAACTCTAAAGTATGGTCAAAGGTGCAATGATACATTCACATTCTTTTTCTACACCACAGTAAACCTTTGCCTTTGTTACATCATCATTACAGGTCAGCCTCTCACACTCAAGAGCTAGCACTTAAGGGGTATTATACAATGAAGTGATCATTAACTGTGCAATATATTCTGTGCTGCACATTATATAGCCCCGAAAAGTGGTACATTTCTTTGAAACAGCTTTATAGTATGCTTTTCACAAACCTGAAAGATTCCAACAAAGCATATTGTAGGAAGATGAATAAGCCAAGGTTACCAGCTGTGAAAATCAGTTTAATTATACAACTCATCCTTTGAAAAATGAACATGCCTTTACTCCTGTTATTATTATATTATTATTATTATTATTATTATACAGGTTTTATATAGCTCCAACAGTTTGCGCAACGCTTTACAAAATGGGGGAGACAGTACAGTTACAATACAATTTCAGTACAATAGGATTAGGAGGGCCCTGTCCGTGAGAGCTTACAATCTAGTAGACTCATTCCAAACTGGTCATTGAGCCTATCCATGATATTAAATTACCATTAGGGCTCATTCACATTGGAATCGGCTGGCACGTACAGCTCCGTGCTGTGTGCAGGGCCCTATCGGGCAGCTCCCGGGAAGGACAAATGCTGCGTGTGATTAGTACGCAGCCCCTGTCCTCTATGGGACTACGCAGCCGTACGCCCCCCTACGCCCCCCTACGCTCACCCGCCCTGCACGTCCGTGCAGGTGAGCATACTTGTACGCTGACAGGATGGATCCTGTCTGTGTTCGAGCCAGGAAACACGCACTTCAGGTGAGCGTAGGGGGGCGTGTACTAATCACACGCAGCACCTGTCCTACGCTGAGCTGGAGCGGAGCTGTACGTGCCAGCCGATTCCTGTGTGAATGGGGCCTTAGGGTGGAGAGGGGTAGAGCATATCTTAAGCTTCCCTTATACAAGTTGAGATTTGCATGTAATGTCATCTGTCTCTACTGCTGGATCTACTCATTGTTCTGACATGCAGTTTTTATTGAAAGAGACCTAAGCTAATTTTTCATTTTAAATAGAGAAGGAAAGGGTTAAGCAATACAGGTTTGTATTGCTCTCTTTGTCCCCACTGGGGATATTCACTCCTCTATTAGTCCTGGTGAACATTTTCAGCAGGGCAGAAAATTAGGGTAAATCTAAGGGTCCCCACACACCTTACGATTATCGTACGAGAATCGCGGGAAATCCCGCGATCGTACGATGATCGTAACGTGTGTGGAAGCCGTGCGACCTCTACTTCTGTAAGGTCGCACGACTTTAAACTTACGGACATGTTCGAAAACCCGCCGAGCATCGTACGATGTTCGGCGGGTTTGTGGCATGTCCGTACGATAACAGCCGCACGGGCCGGTGTGCGCAAGCCCGTTCGGCATTGCGGTCATCGGAAGCCCGCCCCTCAGGGGGCGTGGCTTGCGATCATCGCAAGTACGATCTGCCTATGCAACATAGGCAGATCGTACATTTTTTTAAGTATCTTACAACCATCGCAAGACAAAAGTCTTGCGATGGTTGTAAGGTGTGTGCCCAGCCTAAGATTTGATGTTTGTCAGTAGAATAGAAGGCGAGCGGAAATCTTCCAACTGGGGTGTCTGCTCTATGCTCTATGTGCAACTATCTAAAAGGAGATTTTTCTTCTGAGAGGTTTCCCATTACCTGTTAAAATTGAAGTTCAGGAAAAATCTGTTTTTAAGAGTTTAATTGGGCCAGCATAGTAACCTGTAATGATTTAGAGGGCTGCATGGAATGCTGATACTTTAATTTGTAGTCTGCTCTACCTACAATGTGTCCTTTCATCGTCCGGCAGTGCTGGAGTGACTTCCCGGACCTTACAGTGAACATAGAGGCTGGGACATGCAGTGCCGGGCGGGGTAGTTTTCTACATTTAGCCCTGCTTTGGGCAAGCTTGGCTAAATGTACAGCGGGGAAGCAGCCACTTATTTTGTACAAGTGATTGGCGATGTTTCAGAGAACACTTGTATTCAATTGTTCTCTGCCTTGGGGCAGCAGAGAGAGTAAATCAGACCCTGATGACAACCTCCCTTTTAAAGCCAAACTCCAGCCAGTTTTTTTGGTAAAGCGTTTGGATGGGTTAAAACCTTTGACTTCTTGTACCATGACAGTGTGTCACAGAGAAAGGACGTCATAGGAAATCTCTCTAATGGGGACAGAAAAAGTAACCGGTTAGAACAATGCTCAGTGGTTGAAAATGTAACTTGTCTAGCTTGGAATGTAACCCTGCTCCTGCAAACCTTCTATTAACAAGTGTCTGTGAAGGTTCTCATTCATCCAGGTCATAGTATACAGGTGAAACTCGAATAATTAGAATTTCGTGCAAAGTTCATTTATTTCACTAATGCAACTTAAAAGGTGAAACTAATATATGAGATAGACTCATTACATGCAAAGCAAGATAGTTCAAGCCGTGATTTGTCATAATTGTGATGATTATGGCTTACAGCTCATGAAAACCCCAAGAACCCCAAATCCACAACCTCAAAAAAGTAGATTATTACATGCAATCAATAAAACAAGGATTGTACATAGAACAATATCGGACCTCTGAAAAGTACAAGCATGCATATGTACTCAGTACTTGGTTTGGGCCCCTTTTGCAGCAATTACTGCCATTACTTTTGCACGATATTCTAATTATTCGAGTTTCATCTGTATCTGTAAAAAATAAGTTAAGGCAACTGGAATTGCTGTATTTTTTTTTCCTTGATGTTTCACTGGTCATCCGACCAGCTTTCTATTTGAGAAAGCTAGTCGGATGACCAGTGAAAAGTCTTCAAGAAAAAAAATATTACAGCAAGTCCAGGGCTTCAAAATGCCACCATGTTCCTTGATACTCGCTAAATATGGGTATAACAAGAGACATGGTGTTAAAGTTGACTGGTGGCATGGTGTTAAAGCTGGAGCAAAAAAAAAAAATGAGGTGATTGCAACATTAATCTTCTAAATTGCCTTGGTAAAAAAATGACAACTAGAATGTTCTGCTTCTTATAAAATATACGTTTTACATACATGAAAAGTCATCATATACATAAACTGCAATGTCATGCTGCCACAAGCATGGACTTTAAACCCTTTGATTAGTCTAATCTACGTATCCATGATGAAATATAACTGAGGTTGAGTTACAGATTAACCTAATTAGAGCAATGTGCAGAAGGCAGCAACCTGTAGCATCCATTCAGCTGTTTTTGTTCCAACTACTGTAAATGGATCAAAGATAATATCTTAATTTGTCTGCCAAATGACTTTTCTTCCAGAACGTGTATGTGAAATTATTGATCGCATTAAAGCAAACACTTTTTTATACAAATGTGCTAAAATGCATGACACATCTTCTTCCCAAGCGAATGTCATGTCACTGAACAGTGTTTAACCTTGAAAGATCCCTTTCCTTTGATGCATATTCTGTTGGATTTTGAAATATTTGAAATACTGCCCAGACTGTAAACATGCACTTTAAACAGCTGTCAGAAAGATCACTGGCATGTTGATTACGATTGGGAACAAACTACAAATATTGCTAATCTGAAATATATTAATATATTGCAATATAAAATCTCGTGTTTAACTGGCTGATAGCGATTACCATTACTCTAAATGGAAATCTAACACGCATTTGCATCATTTGCTTAATGTACAGAAACTTTATTGTTGCAAAAAATGGGATAGAGGCACATCAACATATTCTAAAAGCGTCTTCTTTATTGATCCATAAAATCAATTACACAGAGGGTGAACAGAAACTTCTAACATTTTCATACACACAGGCACTTAGCCATTGAAAAGTGTATTCTATGTATGTTAGAGGTCTCTGTTCATCTCCTGTGTAATCGATTTTATGGATCAATAAAAAAGCCACTTTTGTTTGTGTGCCGAGATCTACTTTTTCTGCAATAGTAGTAGTACACCAGTGACAACCTGTGTGAGAGCCTGACTGTGTTGGGTAAGCATTGACCGACCTGGAGCAACACTATCAGGGTTATTCACAAAAGAGTGAAGAGTTTGGAGAAGGCAGGATAAGTGAACAAGCTAGGATAACATAGCTGAACTGGAAAGTGAGCTGAAATGGAGAACTTTTCCAAATCAGCTATGTTGTCCTAGATTGTTCACTTCTCCTGCCTTCTCCAAACTCTTCACCCTTTTTTGAATAGCCCTGTTTTATTGATACAGAAACTATAGTTGAGACCTTTGCATAATAGGCATTAGATTAGGCCTTCAGTCAAAGTGCTCTCAGAGAAATATGGAGACTGACACTGCTAGCCTCCATCTGAAAATGCTAGTTCCTTAGTTTTGTCTGAACCATAGACCCATAAATGCACAATTCTTTTTTTTCTAAAGTTGGTTTAGGTTAGTTGCATAAAAGCCTCAAGTATCCACATCACATCCAAATGATCTAGTATTTTCATTAAAGTGACTCTAAACTCAGGAGTTAAATCTTATAATTGCATTCAATTACCTTAACTATTAACAGCAATGTATCTTATTTGTGTATCACTCAGCTGTAGATCGTCAAATCATCTCTGAATTGGTGCCGACACCTTCCTTCCTTCTGGAGGGTGGCTACTTTTGTTCTCCATGGTCCCTGTGTGTGTTGTAAAGTAGCTACCACTCCAAGCTCGCTCTTGTGATGGACTAAAATCTCAATACAAATTAGTAAACTAAACGTGAGATTGTAGTCCATCACAGGAGCGAGCTTGGAGCGGTTGCGCTATGTTCAGGTTTAGCAAATTTTTTTCCTGGGTTCGCCGAACATCCCTTGAATTGAACTTTGCCTGGTTCAGTCATTATGAACACAACTTTCTTTGAATATGACTCATTCAAAGTAACTTCACATGGCTTCCAATACCATTGCTGATGGCACTCAAATATATATTTCTACTCCTCAACCCACCTGCTCAGTGTCCTTGCGTGTCACTAATCTACTAACTGACATATCAGTCTGGATGTCACAACACTTCTTAAAACTCAACATTTCAAGAACTGAGCTCATGATATTTCCTCTCGCGTGTGCACCTTCCCCCAACCTTTCCCTTGAGATTGATAACACAACTATTCATCCCTCCCCTCATGCCAAGGTGCTAGGTGTCATCCTTGACCCGGACCTCACCTTTCTTCCCCACAACCAATCGCTATCCAAATCCTGCCGCCTTCACCTTCGTAACATCTCTAAAATACACCGCTTCCTCACCAATTAAACCCCAAAAGTACTAATTTACTCACTTGTTATCTCTCGTCTCGATTATTGTAACTCCCTCCTCATTGGCTTACCTCTACACAGGCTATCCCCCTTCAGTCTATCATGAATGCTGCTGCAAGACTCATTCACCTAACCAACCGCTCGGTGTCTGCAACCCCCGCACTGGCTTCCAATAGCCCAAAGGATAACATTCAAAATATTAACATCCACTTACAAAGCCATCCACAACTCTGCCCCCGGCTATATCTCAAACCTTGTCTCAAAGTATCACCCTAACCGTCCCCTCCGCTCTTCCAAAGACCTCCTGCTTTCCGGCTCCCTCATCAACTCCTCCCATGCTCGTCTCCAGGATTTCTCTAGAGTCTCTCCCATCCTTTTGGAATTCTTTACCCCAACCTGTCCCATCTATCTCCCACTCTGACTGCCTTTAGGCGATCCCTTAAGACTCATCTCTTAAGGGAAGCCTATCCCACCTCAACTTAACCACTAACCAAACAATTCATCCCCACACAGCTACCTCCTCATGTATCACTTGTCCCTCCCTTTTAGATTGTAAGCTCTCACAGGCAGCGCCCTCCTTACTATCCTGTCTTGAATTGTATTGTGATTGTAATGTCTTCAATATATTGTAAAGAGCTGCGCAATCTGTTGGCTCTATATAAATCCTGTATAATAATAATAATAATTCAGCTATTGGTAATCAATGTGACATAACTAAGCGTTTCATCTGTACTTGCCTTAACGTGTACGTATAGCCAAACTGTTGTAGGGTTGTTAGTGAAGGAATAAAACCTCTGTCAGTTTATTTTTTGCTGTCTGTGTCCCATTGCGGAGATATCAAACAGTGACAGGTATGATTCCCAGTGGCAGGGACATGTTTGTAGTTAAAGCACAGCTAGAAGGCTGGAGTTGCCCACCCTTGATCTACATACGCTTTAAGGTGTTAATAATACCAGCAGCATATACACTTGGCTGCAGTAAAAATGCTTCACAGTGAATTTATGGAGTTTTTATTTATTTATTAGTCTATTCCAAGGGTAGGCAAACTTGGTACTCCAGCTGTGGTGAAACTAAAAATCCCATCATGCCTCTGGAAGTCATGCCGATGCTTGTCAGAGTCTCGCAATGTATCATGGGACTTGTAGTGCCACAACAGCTGGAGTGCCAAAGTTGTCTACCCCTGGTCTGTTCATTAAACTTGTACATTTTAAATAAGTCTGCAGGATACAACGCCATCCCTGCAATAAATTCATACTCACAAGATTTATGGGCGGCCCAATCGCTGTATTCAATTCTATGATCTTCAAATGGAGTATTTGTGTAGGCAAATATGTAGCGTAGAATCTCCCCTCTCCCTTTGAAATTGAAATAGGTCAGCTTGTAGTTTGGCATGGTTTACTTTTGTAATGGCTAAAACATAAAACAACAGAAAATACATGTAAGCACTGATAATAATAATAATAATAATAATAATAATAAGCAAAACTGCGCAATCTGTTGGCTCTATATAAATCCTGTATAATAATAATAATAATTCAGCTATTGGTAATCAATGTGACATAACTAAGCGTTTCATCTGTACTTGCCTTAACGTGTACGTATAGCCAAACTGTTGTAGGGTTGTTAGTGAAGGAATAAAACCTCTGTCAGTTTATTTTTTGCTGTCTGTGTCCCATTGCGGAGATATCAAACAGTGACAGGTATGATTCCCAGTGGCAGGGACATGTTTGTAGTTAAAGCACAGCTAGAAGGCTGGAGTTGCCCACCCTTGATCTACATACGCTTTAAGGTGTTAATAATACCAGCAGCATATACACTTGGCTGCAGTAAAAATGCTTCACAGTGAATTTATGGAGTTTTTATTTATTTATTAGTCTATTCCAAGGGTAGGCAAACTTGGTACTCCAGCTGTGGTGAAACTAAAAATCCCATCATGCCTCTGGAAGTCATGCCGATGCTTGTCAGAGTCTCGCAATGTATCATGGGACTTGTAGTGCCACAACAGCTGGAGTGCCAAAGTTGTCTACCCCTGGTCTGTTCATTAAACTTGTACATTTTAAATAAGTCTGCAGGATACAACGCCATCCCTGCAATAAATTCATACTCACAAGATTTATGGGCGGCCCAATCGCTGTATTCAATTCTATGATCTTCAAATGGAGTATTTGTGTAGGCAAATATGTAGCGTAGAATCTCCCCTCTCCCTTTGAAATTGAAATAGGTCAGCTTGTAGTTTGGCATGGTTTACTTTTGTAATGGCTAAAACATAAAACAACAGAAAATACATGTAAGCACTGATAATAATAATAATAATAATAATAATAATAAGCAAAGAGATATCAGTAATAAAAGTTTTAATTGTTCAGTTTTGTTCAAGCAACTCTCACTAAACACATGGAGGGGAATTTATCAAAACTGTACAGAATGTAGAGCAGTTGCCCCTGGCAACCAATCAGCCTCTTTAGTTTGTTAAGTTAAGATTTAAAAATGAGATAGAGAAGCTGATTGGTTGCCATGGACAGCTGCTCCAGATTTTGTCTGCTCCAGTTTTGATAAATTCCCTTCATGGAGTTGACGTAAAAATACTGAGTGGTATTAGGCTCCATTACATATAGCATTTGCGTTTCCCTCGCGGTTTTCCGTTCGGAAGATCACACGGGACGCAAACGCTATATGTGAAACAACTGCGCGGATTCCGCTTGTTTGCGGCCATTATATAGAATAATACAGTATTATCGCTCTTGCACTATTTTGGGGGCTCTGCGGTTTCGTACCGTGTGGTCCCCGCAATAGTCTGAACAATGCATATTAAAGTGCATAGTTGTCTATGTTTACAGTGGCTCCGCGCGTATTCGTACAGCCAAACACATGCAGACAGCCGCTCCAGTGTGAATGATAATTATGCAAAGATGTCAGCAACTGTTACATTTAATCTGGTAGTAGCTGGAAATTTGTTATTCTAATTATGGATATAAAAAAAACACAAAGCCATTCAGTTTTAATGTGTGAAGCATAAAACTCAACTTCAATAAAAGGAGAAGTGGGCAACACATCAATACACAAAGAACAAAGTCTAATCTTGCTTATCTTCTAGATAGGTGTTGTAGACTTCTACACTTCATCTACTGATGTACCTGCAAGTAATCAAGACTTCTAAAACAGGCAAGTCATTTTAAAGTGAGCCATTGGAAATGACACCTACATGGTGGCTGTTATAAAAAGGTTTTCCAAAATGTTACAGTAATGATCACAGTATTATAAAACAAACCTATCTGAACCATAATCATACTAAACTCTCAGCTAACAATGCAAGGTCCAGCAGTGTCTGAACATAAGATGAGATGTTTGCTTGAGTGTTCTGAATCCTAGGGCACTGTAATATGCAAAAGAAGATACTTCCTGAGAGATCTGCTAGACCTTTCTACTGAATGATGAGACCACCCATTGCACTAAATGACTTATAGGAAAACGAGGGCAGGCGTGGGGGAGTTAGTTCTGTATATCATTAGGAAGTTTCAAAGTGGCATATTAGTATATACCAATACTTGGGCAATCTAGTGTGCTTCAGAAGCAATTTAAAGGTTCACTGCTAGGGCCTGCATTGTACTACAGCAGCCTCTATAGCACTATTAAGGCCAAAGTCAGTAGACTTTGGGCTGCTAATGCAGCATGGTTTTGACATCACTATGAGACACCTCAGAGATCATTGAAAATTAATTTACAGGTGCAGTTGACCTCCTTCTGACCTGCAAGCAGATTTGAAGCAGATTTGGCATGCCAAATGCACTTGTCAATGAATTCTAAATCATCATAGAAGCGTTTCAAACTGATGCCATCAACACAAGCCCTAAAACTGGTATGGAAACTTACAGATCAGGAGCAAAGAGTTTCTTATCTGCAGCTAATTCAGAGCATCAGCACACTGAAGCCCTAAGCCTTATTTGCAGAGGAGATCAGTGAACAGGAGTTTATTGATCGCCTCCATCTTATGGCAGGGATGTGAGTCCTGGGCTTCAACAAGAGGAGTGAGTCAAGGGCCTCCAGTCCTTCAATGTGGAGTGGAATAGAGTGTAAGAAGTAGAGATGGCATCAGGGAGAAGATTCACTGATCCTCTACACACTTCTTCATCTTGAAGGCAACCTGCAGATTCCAGGGTAATAAGAAATGTTGGCTCAGGGATTGGAGGAATTTGTTAAAAGACAGGGAACGGGAGGTGGGGATATTGGGGTAAATGTCATTTTTGTGCAGGATATACCGTCTTCGTAAAAGGTAATTCTGAGGCTGTAGCAGAGAAAGTCTTCAACAGAAATCATTGGCAGAATCCCCCTCTACTGAAAGCCAAAGTTCTATTTGAAATCAGGTTTTGTAGTACTTCGAATGTATGAATTACGCTGAATTATATTACAATGTCATTCTCTAGCCTAAAAAGGAATTGCTGGTGTGCATTAATGCTCAGACACCCTTTATAACATCATATGCTTTTTATAGTTGTGATCTAAGAGCACAGTGATGAAACAGTGAGGGGTGACACAGACCCATATCTATGGATGCCATGCAATCATATATCACAATGATTTGAAAAAAATACATATAAAAAAACCCACCACTCAAATAGATCCAGCAAAGTACGCTGCTTCCTATGTACTCTGGTAAGTAACCTTATGCATAATTAGTAGAAAAATATCACAATGAATCTGACCTTTGAACACATAAAAACGGATCTTTAACTAAGGTGTAGTCCTAATAGTCATTGTGCAGGTGACACCAGGAAAGATAACATTCAAAGATGACATTTGTTGTATTTGTAAAGACAGTTCTAATGAGATAACAAATTACACGAGTCATGGGCCACATGATCACAAGGAAGTCCACAAGAAAAGGTTTATTGTTGCCAGTAATAACCAGTCAGCTTCTCGTTGGCTACATTAAGAGATTGAACACACTTATGTAATCCGGTGCATTGCAATAATGTACACGATAAAGTGTTGTAAGGGTTAAGGTTATTCAATTTAAATAGCACCCCAATGCACTAAGGTAACACAGCTTGGATGCACATGTGTTGCAGCTAACCTCAAGGCACGGTAATGCTCTACTGTGTGTTGTAGTGCACTGCATTAGAAACATTATGTATGTCTGTTTTTTGGCCCATTTAATGTTAACGCAATACACAAGAACGGAGAAGTCTGCATGGGCCCTAACACTATGGCAACTTTCAGCCAGTTATGTCGTGGTGGTGCTACTGTGCATTTCCGCACCACATGGCAACACACCTGCTCTATGTGCGATGCATTGTGCTGTAATTTATTGTGAATGGCATCCCCAAGCACTGTACACTATAGTGAAATGCAAAACTCACCAAAGCCACCAGAAAGCACATACCATACATTATGGTGTGCTGCATTGCTAAAAAAGGGTAATGGACATGTTAACAAAAGGCAAATACATGTTAACATATCCTAATGGAACACTTAAGCATGAAGGGAACCTGAAAAGGGACAATTCATCGGCTACCATTACTCACCTAATTTTAAAAATGTTCACACCATAGCATCACACTAAATGCACGGGTTACATGCATTTAGTACACTCTATCACACAGTGCATGCTACTGCATGATAGGTGCACTGGTGTGTGTCATTGCCATTTAATTTCAATAGCACAGTCCCAACACAACATATGATACTACAATAACACACACTGCATTGCTGTGCAGTAAAAGAAAAAGTAATACATGCACTATTTTTTATTACTGTATGGCAACACAACACGTTATTGCGGTACCACACATTGTACTGCAACACAAGCCCAGTGGGAGGTGGATTGGGGTGTCATTGACACTAAATGGTAATGCAACACACCAGTGCACCTAGTGCATGATACCATGCACTTTGTGATAGCGTGTGCTAAACTCATGGATCCCGTGCCTTTAGCGCAATGCTATGGTGTAAACAGGCCCTAACTCACTGACCTTGAATGTGTACAGTAGACATTGTAGTAGCAGTATGGGTGTTCTTACTTGCTGCTTGATCGTTTTGTGTCACTTGCTCAAAAGTTTGAATACAGAGGATCAGCAGAGCAGCCAAGCAAGGAGCATTGTCAGAAGGAAGTCAGTATTGACAGTCCATGTGTTTATACCATAATAGGTTTCATTTAACCACAACCATTAAACAAATTGGGACTTTTGTTTTCAGCTCCTAAAATATGTGTTACGGAAATATAATAACTAAAAACAAGTTATAAAAAATAATAATATTTATTAATACAAAATTTTTCTTTAACCACTTGAGTCCCCAGGCATTTTCCCCTTTAAATCCCTTGTAGATTGTAAGCTCTACAAGCAGGGTCCTTTTAATTAGTGATGGGCTCGATGTTCGAGTCGAACTTGAGCTTGACTTGAACATCGGCAGTTCGTGTGTTCAGCGATTCATTTAACCACAATAAGTATGTTAAAATGTATCTCTTTTCACAATTTCCACATTTTGCAGAAAAGTAATTTCACCATTTCCTGCCATTGATTTCTAGTGGCTTTCTCTGTACATCATTCCTGTTATTCTGTTACATTAACATGGCTCAAATATGTATGTGTACATGAAAGGAATGTTAATACGTACATGCTATCTAAACTAAATACATACAGTATAAACGATCATAACATTAATATTAGTAGTTACAATTACTATGATATCAGTAATGCATGTAAGGGAAAGTATAGTGTAATGTGTTTATGTGTATAGTGTAGACTAGGTGTAAAATTTTCTTCCAGCAGAGATCTGAATCAGTCATGTTTGTGCCTTGACTCAGTCAGTGAGTGCCCTCTTACATTAGGTTTCCCCATTAAAGTACCCCCTTACATTAGTTGTCCCCATCAAATGACCCCCTTATATTAGGTGTCCTCATTGAAATGTCCCCTTATATTAGTTGTCCCCCACCAGAGTGCCCCCTTACAGTAGGTATCCCCATCAGTGTGCCCCTTTACATTAGGTGTCCCCATTAAAAAAGTGCCCCCTTACTTTAGGTTTTCCCATCAAAGTGCCTCCTTACATTAGGTGTTCCCAACAAAATGCCCTCTTACATTAGTAACTAATAGAAGGGGGCATTCTGATGGGGACAAATAATGAGAGTGCCCCCTTACATTGGCTGTCCCCATTAGCGTGGCCCCATACCTCTGCCCAGCAGAGGAGGTGAAGTAGGCTGCAGGTGTGGACGGAAGAAGTTCCTTTTTTGTCCTCCTGTGTTGCTGGGGGCAGGATATGCATGTGACACCATTGGTTGTTAGGACTCTGGTGGTCCTAGCAACCAGTGACTTAATAGGAGGGGGCACATGACATCATTGGTTGGTTATGACTGGCAGTGAATGCGCCATCCTCTCAGAGTCTCCAAGGCCGGCGCATCCTCTGTCAGCCAGGCAGACATAACCAAGCAAACGTGTGTGATCACAGTCCAGAAAGAGCCATCACTTGGTCTGTGGCCATTTAGTGATGCCTCAGGCAGCATCTAATTAGGGGGGCAGCAGGTGTGAGAGGGGCAGCTACAGCATCCCAGGTTGCTAAGAGCTCTTAGCAGGCTAGGATGCTCTGTCTGGTGTCCTGCCCAGCTCACTGACATCTGTGGTTGCTAGGGAGCTGAACTGGACTCTCTGGCTGGTGTCCTGCCGAGCTACTGGCAACCGGTGACGCTAGAGAGCTGAGAGGGACTGAACAGAGAGCCACCGACCACACAGCTTTAACACAGCTGCCCGTCTCAACGCGCCCGCCAGAAAGCACACCCCCAGCATTATCAGCAGCACCTTCCCCCTGGCGGCACATAGAGCCCTGTGTAGAGGGTACGTAATATGTAAAATAATGTGTACATACTGTATACGTATAGAATGTTCCTAGGGGGAGCAAATATGACTCCCCTGTCCACATACGGTATATAATTATAATCTATACATAGAAATTCATATCATGCACATATGTATCTAAAAACACTACATTCCCTCTACAACGTAATAAGAAACTGAATTAAACTTTTTAGGCCATTGGGATATTCAAACCCCATGCATTATTATTTACATCATTTTACCATTTATTGTGTAACATGATGCACGACCAACTCAAATCTCAATTTGTTGCTACAAAATTGTATATGAATGCTGTGCATGCTATTATATAATTTATGGTTGTTGTTCTTAATATTATCTTTCTTCTAACATTATCTTTTTCTAAAGCTGCCAAAATATGTATGTGTTTTTGATATTTTTTCACCTTGTCCATGCTCAGAAACTGAAGAGAGTGGCAAAAAAAGACTGCAAGTCGGACACCAATGATCTTTTACTTGAGAAAATAAGTACCCAAAGAGGTGTATGTACTAAGGTAATATATGTGGGGCACCTAGCCTTTCAAAAAGTCTGCTATATGGCTGTTCCATTATTATCACTACTTTCTGGACCACTGGCCTTGCTTAGCATTTTTCAGAAGAAAGTCAGCAATGGCCACCTACAAAAACATTACAGTATGTGATCAAGCTAGTGCTAATAATCACATTTATGTATGAAAATTTAGCAGCACCTTTACGGAGCATGAAATATGTATCAAACATAGTTCCGCAGTAACTCAATCACAATATATATA